TATCCATGCCGAAGCCCTGCTTCTCCCACCACCTTTTTCTCATCTCAACAAACCTCAACGTCATCCTTGCAGTTGCTCAGGCCAAAGGTTGGAGTTGTGCCGGACTATTCTTTTTTCACACCCTAGATCTGAATTGTCACCCAGTCCTGTTGACTCCTTCAAGCTGTGTCCAGAATCCGGCACATCGTCACCTCCTCTGCTGCTACTGCCTCGGCTCCGGCCAGCCCCGTCTCTTGCCTAGATCACTGTGGTGGCCTCTGAATGTGTCTCCTCACCTCTGCCCTCACCCTTCTTTAGCTTACCCTCAACACAACAAGCAAGGTGGTCTTGGTAGAATATAAGTCAGTCCTATCAGTCCTGTGCTGAAATCGTGCAGCTACTCGTCTCACTCGGTGAAAACAGAAGTCTTTACGGTCACCCCCAGGTCCCACATCATCTGGCCCTCATTTCCATCCTGACCTCATCTCCCTCACTTCCTCACGCCCCCACTCCAGCCATAGCCCTGAGCATGCTAAGCATGTTCCTCTTCCAGACCCTTCTCATTTGCTGTTTTCTCTGCCTGGAATAGTCTTTTCTGTTATCCCTATGGCTACCGCCTTTACTTCTTCTGGTCTTTTCTGAATGTTACTTTCTTAATGGGGCCTTTCGTGGCTTCTTATTTAAAATTTCAACACCCAACCACCCACCCTGGCGTTCTCCGACCCCTGTCCTTCTTTACTTTTCTCCAGGGCACATCTCCATCTAACCTTTCACTTACTTACTGTGTGTCTCCCTCACTGGAGACAGTAAGCTCCATGAGAACAGGGAATTTTGTGTCTGTTTGTTTCCTGCAGAGTCCCCAGTGCCTAGAACCGTGCCTCACCCCGAGTGAACACGTAGCACATACGTGTGGAATGAGTGAGTTCCAGTAGAAAGTTGTCGCCTCTCTCTTCACCGCTTCTTTCTGACTTTTTATGGAACTATTGTTTTAATTTCTATGCATCCTTTGTCCATGGAGCTGGTAGGGTGTAGTGGTAAAACCAGTGGACAGCCAAACACAACTCCAGCTTACCGTTTGGCTGTGTGACTGGGGACAAGTTGCTTAGCTTCTCTGAGTTTTAATTTCTTTGCTTATAAAATGGAGAAAGACTATCTTGCCTATAACTCAGGATTGCTGTAAAGATTCAGTAGAATAATGTTTGAAAGGCTATCAAGGATAAGACGTGGTTTTCATTTTCCATGATGTCTGACCCTGACTCAATGCTGGAGCTCTACATGTGTGACTGTCTCATTTAATTTTCACATCAAATCAATGAGATATGACCTCATACTACTGAATTCTTTTTACAGATGAGAAAACTGAAGTCCACCAAGAAGTTGAATGTATTAGCCAAGAGCTAGTCAACAATAGAGCTAGACTTTGAAATCAAACAATTTTATTCAATGGTCTGAGATTTTCCCCATTATGTTCTACTGGATGAAATAAATGTTTTAAGACTGAAAGGAGTAATGAAAAGGATTTGACCTGGGGTGCAACTTTTGTCTCCAGCCTCTTTCTTGACTGCTAATTAATTTGGCATTTCCCTGATGTTATTTTTTCCCCCTCTTTGACTCAAACAGGGAGAAATTTCCATCTTTCAGAAGAAAAAGGTATTGTCAGGCATTCCTATATTTTTCCCCTCCTCCCCCACGGAGTGAAACTGTTGTACGTCCCCTGAGATTTTTGTCATACAGCCTAAACCATGTCCAGATGGTTTTTGCAAGTTCAGACGTAGTAAAGTTTTTGTAGTTATCTACTGAAACGAATGCAGGACTAAATTGCAAACACCCGCTTCCCAAATAACTTATTCCATGCTCTTCTGCCTTGTTTGTGTTATGGTCTTTCTGTGCTAATGAATTCGTAAATGTGGTTTAATTACTGTTTACCAAAAATAGCTGCACACACATCAGTCTCAGTGGGAGACTTAGCCAAAACGTTGAGGCAATTTGTTTCTAGTGCAAAAACAGCTAATACATGAGAAAACAGTTTTTAAACATTGAGAAAGAAACTTCGGTTTGGTTTGGAAGAAACAGTGTTTGATATATTTAGGGAAATAAATTATTCTTTAAGAGAGTGAATTTAAATATCATAATGGCATTCCTCCCTCCCCACCCCCAACCCCCACCCCCAAGGACGGGCACGTGGTAATTTGCACGGAGCCAAAGTGTAATAAAAAAGTGCAATAACGGTGATTTGATTGAACACCACACCAAAGAGCTACATCTTAGAAATCCCTGAAAGGAAAACTCAAAATTATTTGTAAATTCCATCAAATGTTTCAGTGCCGTAAACCCATGTATTATGTATTACCTCATGTTTCTGAATTCTTGCCTCTGGCAAATTGCCAACTTAGCAACTAGATGACGGTTTTAAAATTCTAATAAAAACCAGCCTCTCTAACTTTCCTTTTATTTTCCCCTCCAGAATAAAAGGAACATAAGAAGGGAGCGAAAGTTATTAGAAGTTTCGATTTATAAATTCTGTTTGGAGTTGTAGTTTAATTTTGCTCTTGCATAATGTAATGTTTGCCTGATTCCACAAAAAGAGGGACCTCTGAAAGGAAGTTCCTTCCTGCAGCTGGTGGCCCTGCTAATAGGAAGGGACCTCTGTTCTCCCTGCCCCTCGGGGAAGCCTGCCTGGGGGCGGGAGCAGAGCCAACTCTGCCTCCAGTGCAGAACTTGGAAAACAAAATCCGTCCACTTGGCAGCTGATAAGGATTGCTTGTTGCTTCCTGAACTGTGGAGGTTAAGTAAGAAATCTGAGCAGTGTGAGGTACAAATACTGCCCTCTAGGAATTGATTTTTAGTGAGGGCAACAGACAGGTGTTCAGGCAACTTAATGTAAGAGACCCCAAGAGTGGGAGGTGGGGGAAAGAGGTGTAGGTGGGTCAAAAGGTACAGACTTCCAGGTATAAGATGAATGAGTTCGGAGGATATAATGTACAGCATGGTGACTACAATTAACAAAACTGTATTACGTATTTGAAAGTTGTTAAGTGAGTAGATTTTAAAAGTTCTCATCACAAGGAAAAAAATTATAACTCTGTGTGGGGATGGATGTTAACAAGACTTATCGTGACCATTTTACAGTGTGTGTGTGTGTATATACATATATACATATACACACACGCATATATATACACATATATATAGTGAGTCATTTTGTTGTACACCTTAAACTTACACAATGTTTTATGTCAATTACATCTCAATAATACTTGGGGTGGGGATTCCCAAGACCAGGTCTTATCTACCAGACAGCTTTAGTGTGTCAAACAGCGTTCTGAAAACCAGGGCCTCATCTTTGTGATGGAAAGACTCATTTTCCAAGATTATTCCATATTTTTATGTTGTAATTATTTATCTGTCATTCATTAACTCACCAAATGTTATTTGTGGAAGGTTGGAAGGTCCTAGGGAGCCTAACACCAATGGAGACTGTGTCTCAAGGGGTAAACTATGCAGACGTAAATAAATAAGTGCACCAAGTATAAAATCTCAAAGGAAAAGGAAAATCATGATTAAAATAGAGATATATTGTCTTTTATATATTCTATAATTTTCCAAGCCTTACTTTCAGTTTTTTTCCCCAATAAAAGAAAAATGCAGAACTTCTTTATGATAAGCAGTTTATCTTACCACACTTAAATCATAAAACTTTGGAAATAGGAATAAGCTCCGGTATCACCTCCTCCAGGAAGGCTTACCCGATTGCTCCCATTCGGCTGAGGTGTCCTTTCTGTGTGTTCTTACTGCACCACATCCATTTTCAGTTTACTGTATTGTTCCCTTCCTGCCACCACCACCCCATCCATATACAACTGAGCGTCCCTTAAATAGGAGGGGACATATCTCACTTTTCTTTGCATCCACAAGGCCAGAAACATGTCTGGTATAAGATGCTTGATAAGCGTCAAAGCTATATGAATAGAAAGATGGTAATTACAAGCATTTTTCCAACTAATAAAAATTGCCTTTATTCTCAACGTTATATTAAGTTGAAAAATATGGAACAAGAAGGTACAAGATACATATTCTTGTTTTTTTAAATGTAAATGCATTAAAACATATGATAACAGTATATTTAAATAATATACATTCAAAAAATCTGGAAGGATACACATCAAAATACTAGCAGTGGTTGTCTCTAAGTATTAAGATTTGAAATGATGCTGATCTTTTTTTTAATATATCACTTTTTTGTTTTACTATTTTACTATGGATGTGTGCTACCATTAGGATAAGAAAATATGAAGTTATTTGTATTTTTAAAAAGAAAGTTTGGCCTATTTCATAAGTAACAATGATAAGATATAAACAAGTTTATGAAGCATCATCTTTCCCATCTAAACCCAATGTCAACAGTGACTTGACTTTGTGAATTTAAAAAACTGACCTAGATTGGTAGCATTTAATGGTATTAGTTTCTATTTTCCTTACTCATGTCTGTGTTTATAACATTCAGAAGGTACCCAAGCAGCACTTTATTAGTAAATATTCTAGTAATAAAACAAGGCAAGTGATCGCTTCTTTCTCTCTCTCTTCCTGTCCTTTAATTACCCCTTCTAATACTTGGATTGGGTGTTAGATCCCATCTTTTTAATGCCAGGGTAGACAACTTGCAAACAGATAAGACACAACTAATTCTCTCTCTCTCTCTCTCTCTCTCTCGTTCTCTTTTTCTCCTTTTCTCCCTAACATTCTCCCTACTTTCTCTCTCTTTCAATATGCATCTCTTGTTTACGGTCTGGCTCTATGTAAAAGAAATATCAGTTTCTGGTCAATGATATTTCTGCTCTGCGAATTTGGCCTGCCTCTCTTTCTATCATTTTGTTTGGCTGACCACAATGTTGGGAAACTTAGACAATATTGTTAGACTAAAATAGAGTTTATTTCTTTTTCCCAGAGGAGCAATCACAAATTATGAAATGTGCCTCTAAAGAACAAGTCTAAAAATTATATATATTCTTTTCTATCTACAGCTGAATTCTTGCTGCCAAGATGGGGAAACAGAACAGCAAGCTGCGCCCAGAGGTCATGCAAGACTTGCTGGAAAGCACAGACTTTACAGAGCATGAGATCCAGGAATGGTATAAAGGCTTCTTGAGAGACTGCCCCAGTGGACATTTGTCAATGGAAGAGTTTAAGAAAATTTACGGGAACTTTTTCCCTTATGGGGATGCTTCCAAATTTGCAGAGCATGTCTTCCGCACCTTCGATGCCAATGGAGACGGGACAATAGACTTTAGAGAATTCATCATAGCCCTGAGTGTGACATCAAGGGGCAAGCTGGAGCAGAAGCTGAAATGGGCCTTCAGCATGTATGACCTGGATGGAAATGGCTACATCAGCAAGGCAGAAATGCTAGAGATTGTGCAGGTATGTAGCCCGAGCCCTTCCCAAAGAGAAGAGTGTGAGTTGCAGTAAGAATTGGAAGGTGCACAGTATAGCTTAGGGCAGAGGTTACAAACTGGTGGCCCACCTGGGCACTGATTCGGCCTACCCTGTGTTTTTAAAAACATCGAACACACATTATAAAACATGGAAATTGCACATAAAAATGCGGATTGCTTGGGGGAGATCTGGCAACACTGGGCCCCCATTCTTTACTGGCTTAAGTCACCTGGGACTTTGTGGTAACTTTCATCCTGCAGATGGACATGCAGTCTACAGCTGGTCAAGCCCACTATGGCCACTCCATCCACTCATTGCAATGACCTGCCTTTGAGGTCATATCTCCTGATGTGGTATTTAATGGTTAAACTCTGACTTGGGTTCAAACCTTGCCTCTTTAAGTCACTGCCTCTGTCACTTTGACCAAGTTAGTTCACCTAAGTAGCCTCACTGTCTTCATCTGAAAAATGGAACTGCCAACAAAGCCCACCCATGTCGTGGGGTGATTTTAAGATTACATGTGACTTTCCGTGATCAATGCTTAGCGCAGTACCAGCCATTAGAAAAGCTCATCATCATCGCCGTCATTAATTTACAACTGTATTAGACTCTCGAATAAAGGGAGGGATCTCTAGGTTCTATCTCATCAGAGATACAGCATTGTAGAGTTGAAGCCTCCATCATTTCGGTGGGAGGCTTCAACTCCATTTTATTCCCCCAGATCACTCACCCAGAGTAAGCTTCCTGAAGTAACAGGAGAAGGGGCCCGTGTATTGGCCACGTTTTCCTTGTGGGACACAAGGGGAAGGTGGGAAAGGGACAAAAGGAGCTATGTCATGGCAATGGCAACTTGATTAGTGGGGAGTGGGACCCAGAGACAAACCTGAAAACCTGAGACGTGGTTCAACAGAGGATCCGGGGAGCCTCAGCTGCAAGCGATCAGAAGGACGATCTCCCTGGGCGGGTGGCAGCAGGGAGAAACGGCGGTCACTCACCATCTTGGAGGGCGAGAGGGGCACAATAGGGAAGAATCTGGCAGCACAGAGCAGAACCAAGACTGGGCATTTGGCTTCCTGAAGGGCTTATCACAGAGGCCAACACTCACGCTGGGACACCTGGGTTCAGGGGGTGGTGGAGGTGGGGGGTGGTTTGGAAGGTTGGGAGGTGGATGTTACATGAGGAGGCAGAAAGTCCTTAGATGCTGGTGAGAATGAGGGCAGAGGTGTAGGGGCACTTGCTTTCAAGAAATCAAGGAGGCCTGGTTACAGAAACTAAGGTCGGAACCCGAAAGATGCCCAAAAGACTGCCTTGTTATGGAGCCTTGCGGCTGAGACCTGGGGTTTGCTCCTGGGCCAGTGAGATGGAACCTCACGGACAGTTAGAGTGACAATTGTGAACCGTGAAGGGATTTGGGAGCAGGAGTCCATGTGACCTCCCTGTATTAGGAAACTCCAAGATCTGCCAGCTGGTTCTCCGTTCTGCTTGGGCCACCAGTGGCTTTTCCTTCACCCTGAGCAGTAACTGTCTGAAGAACATGTGTTGAATTAATCCCTCAGAGACAGGGATCTTAAACAAAAAGAAGGATTTCTCTCCTCTGCAGGGATAAATGTATGAAAAATGTAATGTCTACTGTAAAAATAGGGGCAGTATAGAAAAAACTGAAAGAAAAAGAAAAATTCTCCACAACCCTACTCCATCCACGGAATCATTGCTAATAATTTTCTAATATATCCTCCTGGTCTTATTTCCATGCATTTAAAAATATTGATTTCATAATATATATGAAATTTTGTATCTTGCCATTTTCACTTAATATAATAACACAAGCATTTCTCATGTTATAAAAACTTTTGATAAAGATATTTTAATGGCTGCATAATAGTCATACACTATAATTTACTTAATTTTCACTTATTGTTGGATAGGTTCTTTCCAGTTTTCATTACTATACATACTATTGTAACTTTTAAAAATAAAATGACAAATAAATAATTCTTGTGTATGCAGCTTTTGCTATATTTAGGATTATTCCCTTAGACTCAATTCCCAGAAGTGCAATTACTAGGCCAAAGGGAATGAGCACTTATTTCTATGGCTCTTGGTACACTCTACCAAACTGTTTTTCCAAATGTCCTCCTGAAGTGAGTAAAGTGTGCCCCATATCATTGCACGTTTACAATTTTTCTAAATCTCTGCTCATTAGACAAAATTTAAAATTAGACAAAAAGGTGAATCGTTTTAATAGCTCTGTTTTGTCTCTCCTTTTTATCCGGGAGCGCCGTGCTCTGCCCCGTGTTCTCTGCTTCACTGCATGACGGGAACGAGCATGTTCTCTTTTTGGAGAGAATTGCTTTCTGATTGGGATCTAAGAAGAAGAATTCCTGTCAGCCACTGTGTTATGTCCTGTTTATCATTTTCGCACAGCCCTCCTGGCTGCCCCTGGTCAGCGGTTTGGTGGCCAGGACTGAAGATGTTGAACCCCGCACAGGGAGAACCCTGCAGACCACGTGGCTAATAGCAACCACACCATTCCTGCATTCATTCTGCACTTAGAGTGAGACACCTACAAAATGGCTGGCCCTGGGAATCAATAGTGCAGGGAAGAGAATAGACTCTCTCCCTGAGCTATGGAATCCAGTTTGCAAGGGAGAGTGGGAACATGGCAACGAATGTGCCAGGAAGGTGCCAGTAAGCAGTTGCTGAGCCCTTGCTGACTTCTTCCATGTTCGATGTGGAATATAAAAACTGATCATGAAATTGAAGGAGCAACAGCCTAACAAGGCATTTCTTCTCTGTAAAGTACCTCGGTCCACAGGCCGACAGTACGTTTCCAGGCACACGTATCTGGAATGACACCGAGTCCTTAATAAACACTTATATACTCAGGGCTTTTAAGAAGCTTGAAAATGGAAGGCTCAAATTTCCCAAATTGTCTTCTACAATATCACACCCTGATGATTAATATGTATAATGGTAGAGAGGAAATATTGCAGCATCCCGAGGAGACTTCCAAATCACCAACGAGATTAGATTAAATTTAGAACCATTTTCCTATTAAAGGCTATGCTCTTCTGTTCTGCTACTTTGCAAACCAAGAATTTGTGTATTCTGCTTCATTCTTATGCTGATCCCCTATTGCCAGTGATTCTGGATGACTTGGAATTTGCTGTAGGTTACTACTAAACTTCCCACTCTATGTTTTATCCTCTTGGCCGCCCTTTGAAAGCCCACACTCTAGGCCTTGCCACTGTCCCAAGAAGCTGTATGCCTTCACGGGGATTCTCTTTTTTGGTTCTAGCTGATCTGCAGCATTTAGGAGAACCTACATTTGCAGATGCTACATTTACTTCAGAAGAGTCACTGTACCTTAGATTTCTGCTTTGTGCCTCGGTAAATATCTGGTAGAAGTGATAAGATGGAGGCAAGCTGTGGCTTAGCTGAATCACACACAAATTCAGATTCTATTTTGTGAGTAAAACCTGCTGCTTGATTACAAGTGTCAGTATATAAATTCTTGGCTGAACCTCTGTCACTCCAAGACTCAGAAATTTATTTAATGCAGGTTCAAAATGTTCAGTTATAAACATTAATAACTGGTCAAGGGATTGGGGTGCAAACAAGTTTATAATTAGGTTTGACAATGAATGAAGTATAGGACTCTATACGTTTTTTAGTTTTTCTTCCCTGATGTTGCTTCCTGTAGTTCCACAAAATATTGTTTATGGCAACAAGCTGGAATCCTTTTTTACTTCCTGACACCCTAATGTGGACTCTGTAATATTGAAATACACAGTATGAGTTTCCATTGTGGTGCAATGAACAAATTATCATAAACTTAGTCCCTTAAAGCAACACGAAGTTATCATCTGACAGTTCCCAAGGTCAGAGGTCTGAAATCAGTTTCCGTGGGCTATAATCAAGGTGTCCGCAAGTGTGTTCCTTTTGGAGGTTTTAGGGAAAAGTCTGTCTCCTTGTTTTTTCCTAGTTTCCGGCATATTCCTTGGCTCGTGGCCCTTTCCATTCATCTTCGAAGTCAGCAACAGAGGGTCGATCGCGTCCTTCTCATGCTGCCGTTCCTCTGGGTATCTCGTTCTGTTTCTTCCACTCATAAAGCCCCTTGTATTACATTGGGACCACCAGATAACCCCGAATAATCTTCCCATCTCAAGATCCTTAACTTAATCACATCCACAAAGTCCCTTTTACTATGTAAGTATATCCACAGGTTCCAGAGATTAGAATGGACACATTTTGGGGAGGACCATTATTCGGTCTACCACACGCACTGAAATGCAGTTTAGTTCCTTTTTTAAAAAATAGTTTTGTGCTATATCAACATCTGGATGAATGAGCAAAAGCATATGCAGATTTATTTTTAGAGTCTTAAACGAACATTTTCACATGCATCTGTTTGTTTGTTTTTTTAAGTGACAAATTTAGGAACATGATTTAGGCCCGACATTTTATTATGGCATCAAAACCCGCCTGCCAGAGTTCTCAAACCAGATAACGACTCTGACCTTTCTCCGTGTTACAGCTGATCCTCGCCTCCGGGGCGGGGCTAGGGTCAGCCCGGAACTGACAGAGGGAGGGGCTCCTTCCTGCCCTACACAGTTCCCTGTCCCTCAGCCCAGCTGGAGGCGGGTCTGAGCACCCACGACCATCACAACTGCAGGCATGTCTGAGGAAGGGCCAAGGAGCACATGAGTGGCATTGCCCTTTGGGCCATGAATGCTTAGATGCTCTCTGGGATTTTGAGGGTGAGGGAAGGCTGAACTGAAGGATCCAAAAATGGGACCACAGCACTTCCAGGGAGAGAGTATGAGAAGAACGTGGAGTTAAACTGTCCCTGCTTTTGTTCTCAGAAAGTTCACAGGGACCCTTGAAAGAACAAATTTGTAATGACAGAGCTTCCAGTGGTTGGGAGCATGTAAACTGCCTTGCATTATCCTTATGGATGAGACAAAATTGATCATGCTTATCCA